TTTTCTTTTTTTTTTTCCAAGCATCCAGTTTTATTTTTTCTAATTCGAGTAATGCTCAAAATATCTCTTATCAACTTTAATAATATTTTTTTTCTTCTAATTTTTTTATCAGTTTTGAGCCATTACATTATTTTTATTTGATTGGTTTATAACGTTCTTCAATAGCATTACGTTATTTTTCAGTAGTATTTACTGTATTCTTATTGAGGCGCTGAAAATATTTTAAAATTAATAAAAAAATATTATAACTAAAATCATATTATGTTTTTTTAGTTTTCATTACTCATAAATCATTAAAATATTATAATTTTATAATACTTGTACTTGGTTCGATTATGGTTATAAGTTTATTTTGATTGTTTATAGTGTTTTTAAGTAAGTTATATAGTGTTTTTATTATGGTGGTCAAAACATTATGACAAGCTAATTTTTTATCCCTATTTGGATGATGTTATTTTTAAACTATTATGATATATATCAAATATTTTTAATATGTTTTGATTTTATTTGTCTAACTTACAATATGTTTTAATATTGTAATGTTATTGTATTTTTGTTGATATGCTAAAAACACCATGAGTAACATCATATTATTTCTTGATAGTTGTCATTGTTCTAGATCATTATAATATCAAATTTATAATATTTATAAGTAAGTTTCTGATATTTCTATGTTGGTGACTTATAATATTCATTTTATAATGTTCTTAAGTAAATTTTATGGTATTTCTATTGTGGTGATCAAAATAACATGCTAAAAAACACTGCAATGAACAAAAAATATATATATCATTTGGATTGATCATAGATATATTGGACATTATTTGGAAACAAGAGTATCATTTGTAAAAAAATAAAATCCAAAAATATATTCTGAGAAAAAATAAAAATAAAATTTCATCTGCTCTCGCTTATATGATGGACATGTATACGAACACAACACGTGGATATGTGACGGTTATTGAGAGATTACGATTCCTCTCTCATCCTCTTTATCCCTAATCCATCAATATAAGTGGTCCCGTAAAAAAGACAAGAAAAGAGAAAAAGGAGAGTCAGTTCTAAAACATCAAAGATTCCGTTAAAATAAAATTTTAAAATTCCAACCAAGAAAAAGAGGGTCAGTCAAATCTTGCATCAGATCTTAAAAAACAAAACCAAAAGTAATATCTTAAAGAGGATTGCACGAGATCAAACATTAAAAAAGATAAAAAATAATAATCCAAAAAAAATAAGGAAGGAGAACTAGATTTGCTCCTGAAAAAATATTTTATTTTTCAATTAAGATGGATGATCCCTTGAATAAAAAAACTATTAATCGATAGTGATTTTAAGATTCATAGACGGTGCCCATATAGATTAGATAAAATTCTTTTCAAATAGTATCGAAAGGTAAGATCGTAAATCCAATCTATTATTATTTAATTTCTGAGATTAAAAATTTTTCACGTAATGTATAATATATTATTAGTTTCATACTTACATCTCTCGTCATCTTGCTTTTGAACAGAGTGTGATTATCTCTCCCAGACTCGGCTTCCAATAGATTGTTGTACATCTTTCCCAGTTTTGCATTCCATCAAACTCTGATTGCCTGGCCACCCAAGCTGGGCTTCGTCTCCATTGGAAGCTGGCTGTGTTTCCAGAAACAAGGAAGCAAGCACCGAGGAAACTTGACATCTCTTTTGGTCATTCAATTGAGATCTTTGCTGTTCCAGTAGAAATGAGAAAAACCACCAACCTCACTGAATCTACAGAGACCTCCATACCATGTTAAAATTTGCAGTCCCTGCTAATCCATTTAAACACTTCAGCTGATGGATGGGAGAGGATAAATCCATTTTTCAGCTTGTGTCTCATACTGTAATCTGCTCCAAGCTTCACATCAAGCTTTGGTAGCCATTGGGACAACTCGTCAAAAACCTTCTGTAAATGAGCAGGTGGCACTCTCGTAGTGTTAGCTATTATTAATACACTGTGCTTGAACGAGAGTTCTTTTGCGGACACCAACATACTGCAATGAACGCATCACACATGAACTCTATCCAAAAATATATTTGGTTATCTCTTTCTTTGGGAAGAATTCTTCGTTTTGCATCAGTGAAACAAAGTAAAGCACCACATGTTCTTGCCCATTTCAGGGCTTATCCAAAATACAATAATTGTTGTAGGCACCAAAGAAGACTTCTAGTTGATGTTTTCTTGTCTATTTTAGGGCTCATCTAAAAGTGTTGTGAGAGCAAAGGATTTGTTCGTCGCATGGCTGTGAACACAGATTCACAAAATCTAATGAGCATCGTTCAAGAAACAAGGCAGCAAAAACTGCTATTCCATCACTGGAGCTTCTTAAGACAACACTGCAGACACTATTAACTGCATTAGCATGAAGAAGACGGAGGAACCTTTCATCTGTTTTGCTGCCTTTATTTAGTGAAGGCTAGTGGTTTATTTAGTTGGACGTGTCTTGATGTCCGATCTCCATCGAGTTGGGAAAGTAGAATGAATCCAGTGAAACTGAGCCAAGTGAGGAGAAGTCACATCTTAAGCAGGTAAGTGAAGATACATGGAACTCGAGAAGGTCTTTCCAAGTTTAAGAACAGAGAGAGAACCGAAAACAACAAAGCAACCGTTCTTCGTTCATCTCAGCAATGTATCTGTCGGCAGGAGAGGCAAAGCATGCGCAACCATGAGGCTTTTACTCAACCATCTGCATCAGAAAAGGCAACGATGTGAAAGATGAGAAGAAGGTGTATGAAGAGGAGAAACGAAGCAGCAGTGTGGAACAGGCAGCGAGGGTGGCACCACTGTAACACGGCGGCGCAGTCACAGGCATGTCGTGATTCGCCACAGGAATGGTGATGGAGAGCCGCGTCTTCAGGTCTGGCGCTTGCTTCGACTGATCCACCGCCATGCCCAACCAAGAATCCACCACCGTCGATGGTTTCTCATCAAGAAAGCAGTGGAATGGCCTCAGGTTCTGTGCTGGCTCCTCCCTCTCCGCCTCACCTTTTCTCTGTGTCTTGAAATCAGCACCAAGCACGAAGTAGTGCTTCTCTTCCTCCTGAACCACCCACAAACAAACTCCGATGTGAGAACGACTGCTTTGCATATGGACATGCCTCTGTTTTGTCTGCTCAGGAGAGCTCACCTCCACTGGGCCAAGCCTGAACGGCATCTCCCTGCCACCCCTGCAGGCTTCTGAGAAGAAAGGGTGTTCGTTCACATCCTGCCTGAATCCAAGGATGCTCCTGCTCTTTAAACATTTCGATAAGCTTCACAGCCCAACACCAGAAAGACTGAAAAGGAAATGGTAGCCTGCAACGCATACCTGTAACCGGAAGAGTCATCCTGTTGTGAGTGCGCCATCATGGGAGGAGGCCTCGAAGAGGAGGAGGAAGAGGAGGAGGAGGAGGAGGAGGAGGAGGAGGAGCAGGGGAACAGGAAGTGGTGGGTGTGATGAGGTGTGGAGAGTGAGAGAGGAGGAGGAGGAGGAGGAGGAGCAGTGGGAGGAGGGAAGTGGGAGGAGATTGGGGTGGTGGCCAAAGACAATTCCACAGGCTTTCTTGAACGGCTCTTCCCCCTGTGCATGTGCCTCTCGCAGTACTTGGAGTCAGGGAAGGCCTCCTTGGAGCACCGCCACTTCTTCCCATCTGTTCTTCTGCACCTCCCTGGCTCCGGATCCACTGCCTTCCTACCGTCACCCACCTGATAAGCTTCCCATCCAACTGAGTGCAGTAGACCAGCTTCGTCTCAGGAAACAAAAGCATCCAAATGGCAGAGAGCGAAGGAGAGCAAACACTCACCCGTGGGGCGATGAGGAAGGAACGGAAGAGTTTGAGGCTCCACGAAGAGGCTCCTCCTGATGCAGAGGATGAGATCGGGAGGCACGGGGATGCCTGAAACCATGTACTTGAAGATGAGGGCTTGGAGCTCCAACTCTTGCCACTGGGATGCAGTGAAGGGATACCTGCTGCCCCCGCCCACCACCATCATCATCATCCTCCTCCTCCTCCTCCTCACTCGAACCAAAACCGCAGCACCAACGAAGAGAAGCGGGGAATGAAGAAAGAAAAGAAAGCTGGCACTGGCAAGCATCAAAGAAAGAGAGGAGGAGGAGAGAGGCAGCGGCATCAACTTGTAACATCCTGCAATAAAATAATAATAAGCAACTTTTGTCTGGTTATGTGACAACAGTAAAGAAAGGGGGTGGTTTTGTTTGCATAGGAAGCGTCATTCAGTCAAGGGGAGGGAGAGAAGGTGGGGGAAGGGGGAAGGGGGAAGGGAGGGGAGAGGAATCGCAAGACACTGTTGGGGACGCACCACTGCACTGTGGTCAGAATATGGCTTTAGCTGCGTTTCGATTGCAAAGCAGTGTGTTTAAAATGAATGGTGTCAGGAGGGGGTGCAGCCGCTGACACTGCCACCTGATGACAGTGCGCAGTTCTTATTGCGACTGACATCAGATGGAGAAGCAAGGGCAGGGTCAGGGATGCAGCGCTCTCCTCGCCCATCTCTGAACCCAGCTGCTGTTCCTCTGCTGCCTTTTGTTGCTGCTGCTGCTCTCTGACTCCCCTGCCACCTTTGCAGAAACCCACAAGCAAAAGGAGAGCGGGGGGCGGGCTGCGACGAGCCTCAGAAGACAGAGGGAGAGGTCATATTATAATTGGACGGCATGTGGGTGTCTGCAATCTGCCCGAGCGACCGAGGAAAGAAGGGTTGGAGTACAGTGTACTCCCACTTATGCTTCTCACTTGTGCACTGCTTTTTTTGAATTTCCAACTCTCAGACAAAGTTACTGCTACTACTTGTTCACCTGATGCCTTTTTTTCCTCCTTTCTCCATTTCATTTCCTGTGCTGCTTTCGTCTGGGTGGGTGCCTCTTCTTCTTCTTCTTCTTCTGAGGGAGGTGAGGTGAGGTGAGGTGTTCCTTGGTGATGCAGTAGTTCTCCATGGTACCCTGCTAAATGCTTCCTTCGGGTGCATCAATTCACACAAATGAGATGAGGCAGAGGAATCCAAGAGGGTTTTCCATTTTCATTCGGTTCTTCTGCATCAGAGAGAGGCACTGCATCTTTTGATCAATCAGATGGCTTCCGAAGTTGAATTCTAGGCCTGTGAAAAGGTCTGCAAGTGAATCACTGTTTCCAATCAGATAAGATTGTGAACAATAGTAGAACTGGAAGCACAAAGCTGAAATTACAGTTGATAATTAGATCACGTCACAAAAGTTGATGCAGATAAGGCACTATTACCTCCGAATCAATGCACAGGTGGAATGCAAAATTAGAAATAGCAGCTGCATCCATTTCTGCAGTTAGAAGCTCTGATATTACTGATGAGATGGAAACAAGACACAAACAAGTTAGCAAACGGGGCAAACACAACTATATTAGTCGGATCTGACACACATGTTGATAACCATGGGGGAAAAACAAGTCTGTCCATTCAATCTCCTCTTCCATTGGTTTTGACCACATAGAACAACTCCAGTCTATATGGTGCATTCAAAGAATTTTGACATAGAAACTAAGAAGTCAGTTTGAACTGTCAGAATTTAGTAGCATGAAAAAGCAACTAGCCAAATTAAGCATCATACAAGTCTTAAGAGAACATCATATATGAGATGAACGGTATATGAAATAATGTTTGTGACAAACTTGAGATGAACAGTATCCTATAACATGGTGGTCGTATGGTTACATCATACGGTAAAAAAAAAATGTTATCACCTGGCAGAAATGCCTCTCATCCGGTTGAAACAGGAAACTAAAAAAGTTCAACAGTGTAGTTATCAATTACAAAATTTAGCAGATAATTTATGTACAGCATCACTGAGATCACCTATCTTTTGAGTTGGAAACCTTCACGAACTGCTGGCCCCATAAGTTAAGGACTATTCTGATCAGTAATCATGTATGATGTTCCTTCCAAACAGCAGGTTAGCGAACAAACAGTCAGAAGCATTAACCAGCCGTAAAAGTGAACATAAAAGAATCCTGCATCGTCTGATTCTAGGCTCGGATAATCTTGTGTTTCCAATCTTCTAGCCATTCTACATCCTGTGACAAAAATAAAAAAAAATATGAGAGCAAGCATGAGTCAGATATCTCTGCAACTGTCTGCTGATTTTTCCAGATCCCCTTTCATTTCATCTATCAAAGATTAGTTATAGGTTTACCATATCTGTCCAATTGGTTACCCAAAAATGAGATCCAAAGAGTTCGTGTTCCTCAAGATTCATATATTCTAATGGAAGACCGAACATCTTGACAACACAAAGGACACTTTGGTGAGGAGTCATGCACCACAGATGTTGCACAGTGTGGACAACAAACAAGATGCCCACAAGGAACAAATGCAGTTCTTCTTCGTCTTGATAAGCAGATGACACAAAGTTCCCCATCCGGTACATCCTCCTGTTCCATGCTGCTCCTGGACAAAGCCTCATTATTTAAGTCCTCATTCTGTCTTCTTCTCCTCAGTCTCCACTCTTTCCATTTCCACCAGTTCCTGCATATCAATAAATTGCTGACCTTATTATATGATTTAACTCATTATTATACATGATGGAACATAATATGAACATAATATCACCAAATACCAGGGGACATGCCACCCCCAAAAAGTTTCTAAATACATAAGCTACGCAAACACACTAATGCCGTCCACCTCTGCACTCACAGATCCGAGTCATATAACTAGAAAATAGATATTTCAGTGATAGAACTGTCTCATGTGATTACAGAAAGCAATACTTCATATTCTAGGTTAGAGAGCTGAATAATGGAAATTCTTGAGGACCAGTGTCATGGTTAGTACGACATAGAAGAACAAAGACACCTGCAGTCTTTTGTTGTCCTTGTAAAATAATATCTTCCAGGTGCCTAAAGCGTACCACTTTTAACTCCACAAACACATGCAAAGCATTAACAGGAATATATGAGCATTGTATGTGAGTGCAGTTACACTTTAAGCACACATTCTAATAAGGCTATAGGTGGAGGTATATGCAACAGGAAACCAAGCCAGTCTGGTGCTGCCGAACCGCATGAATAATACACTAAAAGTACATTTGCAAAACATGTTATGAATATAGCATATCACTTGCACATCTAATGGAGCTTGAATCACTATACCTCATGTTCCTTGACATATATTATACTGATATTGACACTGACAACATACAAAAGAGTTTGCAGATCAAGACAAATAGGAGTGAGATAACTAGGAAGAAGTTACAAGTCAGCCAAAAATTCCACTATCAAATCAAGGTTTTGGTTACTATATATAGAGGCCTTATACACAAAGTAACATAATAAGACTGTTGATGAGTAAAATGAAGAAGGCAATTCAAATAGAATCTTCAACCTAAGGTCTATATGTATGCTGCTACTTAATCATCCACTAAAGTAGAAATAGTAAACATTTAACAAGAGAAGAAATAGCAGCAACTAATCCATGTGATGATTTTAATGACAGTTTGATCTTTAACAGTGAACTCAGAAAAGAGAAATACAAGGATTTAAATACAGATCCAATACCAATTTTGAAAACCCATTGGATAAGTGTCGTTCCTGTATACTGGATGATATACCAAATTATACTATCCAGTATCATCAAAAAAATAAAATATATCTTAATTATTTTAAATTGTAATGTTATCCTATTGATATCAGATATTTGTTCTAATATTGCTACTTGGTCCTTACAGATAAATACTGAGCACATACCAGTTCAATCAACATTTGATTACTCAAAGAATATTGTATGTGTTGAATACACATGAAAGCCACAGCTCATCAGATATAACTAAATTCACTTGCAAGAGCATTGCCAGCACAGTATACCAACATTTTTCACCAAACAAGGACAATAAAGAGATGAAGAACATTGGCTTTTAATTTGGACTTCAACAATTGTTTTTAATTTGGATACCAACCAAAATAAAATTTAGAGAAAAGAAGGTTCTCTCTACATTATATATTGTTATCCATCTCTAAAATTAATGGCTTGGTGGCAACACATGTCCATTATGCAGCAAAAAAGTTCACACTAGTTGTCAACCACCACCTTTGCTCCAAGAAAATTGGAAAAGCACTTCAGTACATTGAATATAAGAACTATGGAGATATTTAGAGTTCCATTGACTCTTGAGAATTAAAATTTAAACCATGGCGTGGAAACTCTGGGATAGGATTACTGAAAAATTTTGGATATGCAAGAGAATCTAAGGACCATATTGGTTTCAGGCTAAAGATTAATGAAAGAAGTTATTTACTAAGCAACTGAAAAGTTCATCAAGACAATATACTTGCACAATACATATACTAACTTCAAAAAGAACATAACAGTGGGGAAAAAAAATTACAGTAGATTTTAGAAAAAAATATCTCGGTGGTAAGTTTACGACAAGTAGGACAAAAGGTCGTGTAATAACGATCAAAAGGAAAATTCTGATGGCGCTGGGGTGTTTGCCAGCTGCCAAAACAGTTTGTTCAGTGGATACCAGCTAGCTAACTTGGTTATTGTGCCCCTGAGGCTGGAAAGCAGGATAAAATAGGAGGGGATGATGACAGCAAAATAGGGAAGCCAGAAAATAAGGAACAATATTTGCCTATCATTTTGCAAATTAGACCTCTTTTTTAACCTTTCCAACAACAATTAAGAAAGGCCAGCAGCGGATCTCCTCCCAAGAGGTACCTAGGCTGTGACCCCCTCTTGAAGTCAGGATCCATGATGCCCTATTCCCCTTCCTAGGCCATGATAAATAAAAAGAGTCTTTAAGTTGAAGGACTAGTTTCTCTTTCAAGGTTGGTCTGTTTAAACAAATCCTATAAACGAATGGATTCAGGCCTCACATGAACCAGTTTCAAGAATCAATTGGTTCAGCATTGTTCATATGATAGGAGCACAATTGGTCGAAACTTAGTCCTTTCATGTTAGTATACACGTTCATCTTTATGCATATGTATGTGTCCAAAGAGTGCACAAACAATACCTAATGACGGCATAACCTAATATACCAACAGACAGAATTCCAAGCAAAATGCCACTCCAGAACAGGACTCCAGCATCGAAATTAAGCTCAGCCACAATTTCATCCTTTGTCATGTCAGACCTGCACCAAATAATAATAATAATAATAAATACAAGCAATGATACATACCTCCATATAATAACAAGGAAACATTTAACAAATATGCAAGTACTTTATATGGAGTGTGCAAATTCTAAAGGTGAATGATAAATTGGAAATTTAACTACAGAAGCAGCAAATTATCTGTCCTTAGATGAATTTGACCATAACAACACTTAGATCCAAAACTAACAAATTACACATAAAAAAACAGTAGCCTATGGAAGACACTGAATGCCCAGAGTTGATGCTTACAAGAAACAAGGAAGCTCCTGGCATGATTTTATCTCAATAGCTTCATCTCTTGGTCTGCAAATGCCAATTGCAGTAATCTCCTTTCCAACTGGAAGGATTTTTTCTTCATCCAACAAAGCCACCTTTAGAAACACAATTTTTCATCACGAATACTGACAAAGCGAGCATAACTAAAACTAATGTGAAGAAGACAATACAAAAAATGGAATTAGAGAACAAGAACATACAGGATATCCAGAACCAAAGAAGACCTGGAAGAATGTGAATGGAGGAACTTGAATAGGGTGCAGCTCATGATAAACTGTAGTGAGAGGTAGTGGGTGGGCTGACCCATCCAAATTAACATGAACATAACCAGAATTAGGCCAGTCACCGGCTTCAACAAGAACAAACGAAACCTGCAAAATCAAGTAGAACATCTTCAACATTTCCGCATTTACAATAATGTTTAACATATATATGCAGCAAGTAAATTTAAGAGTTTGTGGACAAAATGTATTCACCGATTTCAATAAGCTTGAGCTTGACCTTTGTTCCTTCAAAGATTTTGCAAACAGTGCATGGAGATCAAAATTCCATCTGAACATTCCCCTCCATTCATTGTACAAACACTTGATCATCAAAAGAGAAGAGAAGTGAGATCATAATGCAAACCACTTTGGTGTTATATCAATTCTAAATTAACCACTTTGACATCTATTCAAGATCTGAGCAATGCCGTTTTAGATTGAAGGCAAGTTATATAGTAGAAGTGTCATGACTCAAGACCTAAAAAAGCAGTACTCAGAATCAGCTCTTTGTAGATGGATACTCTCACATGCTAACCAAAGTGATAACCCACAATTAAGGTCAGACTACCATGGGGCATGACAATATCCCACACTCTAATAATGGATGTCATTTATCAGATCAATCCACATCACTCACAAGTCCACATGAATCACTAGGAATCCCCACGGATGATGTATAAGGAATAGATAATGGGTTGAACTATTATTTATCATTTTTTGGAACTTCTGATCAGATCAAACATGCAAGTTTGAGGAAATTAATTCACCCTTAGCATCAGCGAGATGGTGAAACGTTATGGAAGCGATGGATATCTGTATAAGCTCTCTTTGTGGTAGATTCTATATTTTTATTATTATTTTATTCGTTTTATTTTCTGGTCCCAGTGACAAAAATTACTTGATGCAGCAAAGGATTTCTTGCCTTATCTTGTGAAAATCAGGCATTTGAACTCCATCATCTTCACTGTCAGAAGTAGAACCACATAGACATCCTCTGATACTAGATTATTATTTTAAAGCTAACCCACAAATAAGTTCAACCATCAAAACAAGTTTTGTCATAACCGTGGCCACAAGTGATCAACCACTTATCTTCTCAAAGAATCTTAATCTTAAAGTCAATTAACAAAATACTTGGCAAAAAATGTGTACATTTTTCATCTAACCATCATTTCACAACTGCTATCAATGTTGTGGTGAGAGAAAAAAGTGTCTGGGGGCAAACCATACTTCTTGTTCTCTCCCATTTCCTCTCCATTTTTCCATAATGTCTGTATTGAATTCAAACATAACCCTCTTTCCCATCTCCCTTTTCCTACTCGTATTTCCAATTCTCTCGACCTAGCTGAAATCCAATATATCTCTTGAAGCCATGCCAGAATGATGCATGCTATGGCTGCCTAAAAACCCAAAAGCTGAATGAGACATGTAACCCTAGGCACCTAACTAAATTTGGCTTGATTCTGAAATCTAGTTAAAGTATAATAGAATTAGGTACCCAAATCTAAATTTTCACAATCATCCAAAGGTTTGACAATTTCTAAAATGGAAATATCGTTTTATAAGAACATCAATCTAAGTAATAGAATTATTTATATTTTCTCTTAGGTTAAACTGCTTCCTACATTTTCCTTTGATGCTTAGTGTCCCCACAAGAATTTGCATATGATTGGAAAATGACTTCAATGATTACAAGAATTTACCAGCAATAGCATACGAATATTCAAGATATGTAACCAAAGTGTGTTTGCAACGCTGAAATAGTTAAGGGCATAAAATGATCTTGTACTAAAATTGGAGGTATAATTAGGTTTAGTTTGGAACACCAACAGCAGCATGACAGAGTCTTTTTCGCACACCTCCAAGAAAAGAAAGTGAAGAAAGGGAAGGATTTACCATTTGGGTGTTGAGGATGGCGACGGCCATCTCGTCGGAGCCCCGAGGGGTGAGGACGCCGTTTGTCTCGGAAACCGCACCGTCGCTGAGAGCCTCGACGGCGGAGCTGGGCTGGACCCGGCCTCGAACGACGACGAGGAGAGGATCTTCGTTCAAGTAGTCCGCGGAGGAGAGGATAGCACGGAGGCCAGAGATGGGGGCGGAGGGAGCGCAGCTGATGCGGTCGAGGGCAGCGGAGGTGGTGGCGTACTTGACCCAGGAGGCTGCTGACACCGCGGCGAGTGCGAGGCCGAGGATGGCGCCGTCGCAGGCGACCGCGAGCCGCGCGAGGACCGCTGCCGTCCCGTGGTTGCGCAACGGCATTCCCGGCGTCGAGTTCTCGTTCTTGGATTGGGTCGGTCCGGGCTGGGTTTTTGCAGGCCTTTATATATAAAAATATATATATATATATATACGTATATGTACATATATATATATATACACGCATATATACATACATACATACATATATATACACATATATATACATATACATATACATACATCCATACATACATATAATATCTCGAATAATACATATATACACACACACACACATATATATATATATATATATACATATATATATACATATATATACATACATATATATATATACATATATATATATACATATATATATATATATACATATATATATATATATACATATATATATATACATATATATATATATATACATATATATATATACATATATATATATATATATATATATATAAAAACATAATTCTCATTAAGTGAAGATGATGGTATTTAGTGGAATGCCATTATAACAGTAAGATTTCAAGATCACGCATATTGGTATAACAGTGATAGAACGGTGTTCGATCGCAAGTTTAGTCATGTTCATAGATTTTGTGCATGCGTTCGACAACATCATCATCCCCCGAGGTTCCTCTGAATCCTCTGCACATCCTGCCCAGAAATCTTGAAGGCCTTCTTCAAGACCTCCTCCGGAAACCGCGGGTCCGACCGGAACAATGTCGTGGAGGCGAGCTGTGCCCCGGGATTTTGGCTGTTGAACCCCGACAGCACCACCGCCGGCGTCGTCGGGTCAAGATTGTACAGGAAGTGGACCAACCCCCTGGAGAACAGGAACGTATCGCCGGGACGAAGTTGTTGGGTGTAGAGGCGGTGTGAGGTGTCGACGAATCCCACCAGCAGCGTCCCCCGGAGGAGCAGCGCTGCCTCGGAAGCGCGGGGGTGGGCGTGGGGCGGGACGAGGCCGCCGCCGACGATGTCGACACGGGCCATCGCCAGGCCCTGCGCGTTGGCGCCGGGGAGTGTGGTGGCGTTGGTGGTGGTGACGCTGAAGCCGAAGAGGGCAGTGGCGGCGGCACCGTTGGGTTGGGAGAGCGCTGAGGTGGCGAAGTGGGCAGACCGGGCGAGGGTAGGATCGATGCAGGGGCGACCATTAAGGTGGAAGGTCTGGGCAGCGACGTCGGCGACGCAATAGTCGAGAAGGAGGTCGGGATCAGGGCGGGAAGGAGAGAGGGAGAGTAGTAGTAGTAGTAGCACAACAATGAGAATGGCTTGAGAGGGAGCGACGACTCTCTCCATCGATGCACTTGTTTGGGAGGAAGGATGAAGAGACATGGAACTCGAGGAGGTTTTATGTTTGTGTCGTAAATGGATGTACGAGGTCGTGGGTCATGACGCTGCTTGAAGGTGGAACAAAGGTCAGTCATGTAGGTTGTCTTCTAAGTAGGGCTGTGTGATCGTCTAATCTAAACCTAGCTTGTAAGCTTGAGCATGCATAAAGTACAAAGATGCATATGAACGATTCCAAGCATTCACAAGAAATGTAATCAAAGTGACATCATCATTTTTTTACTTTTTTATTCATATTATAAAGATATGTTTTCTTCAAATTCATATAATAATCGAAAATGTTTACCTTCATACAGCAATTATAGGATAGGAAGCACAAGTTGCAATGCCTGCATGAACAATTCCCAAAATTAGTTTCAAGATGTGTACAAGGCAATGTCACTAAAGGATATTCTACATCTCGAATGAAAGTGCACCAAAAGGGGAAGACAAATGGTTGAAGCCAAAAACATGTTCATGGAAAAGACCAGCACTATGTAGATTTGAAGTAAACTACATGTAGAAAGTGAGTTTGTGTGACATGGAAAGTGCAGCAATCTAGAATAAATGGTGGAGAAAACGATATAATGATATTGAACACATTTGATAAACATCAAAAATTTCTGATAAGGAAAACGATAAAGATGACAAAGGTCAAGAACTTTGTTTATAGCACATATTAGAGCATTCTAAATAGCAGCAAATGTTATGAGGAGAGGACTTGATTATGGTGTTTTTTCTGATCATAGGGTAGCTGACATCATAAAACGTGAGATTTTGTACCAGATAAGTAGATATTTATCGATGTAAATTGTAATTCTGGAGTTCAATCTAACTAAATAATATGACATAATAAAAAATGGTCCTAATTAGACTGTCGAAGTTACAGTTTCTAAACTTCTAGTTCAAATTCATAAAACTTAATTATATCTGAAGATATATATAATGATTGCAGTTCAGTTATTATCGTAGATAATGCATTCTGAGATTTACTCACCACACATGTTCTTTCCCAACTCCATCTTGAAGTAGCCATCAAGACCCCAGTCGCTGCCCCAAGAGTTCTTGATTAGCCAATATGGAATGCCATTCTCGACGCCATAACCAACAGCTAGAACAGCATGATTCACATCCTACATATCATTTTTCACATAATTTCAGAGGCCTGCTCGTAGTCTATTCAATTTAACCATCCTATGTGATGAGAAGAATTGGGAGGACTATAGAAATCAAGCATCTACTAGTGACAAACAAAATCAGATAATGATGCTATTGGAAGTTACCAGTTCAGTGTTGCCACAGGTCTCACTTGTGTAGACTCCTCCCTTGTAGAATCTGAAATCCCTAACTACTTGAAATGCGACACTTACTGGACGAACCAAACCTACTGCATGCTTTAGTTCATCTTCAGCACCCTATAAAAATAGTTGAAACATAACAAGTGTTGCTAGTGCATCTATGCAGTTAGGACAAGAACTAAACTGTTTGAAAATGCAGATATACTGAAGACAAGATAGTCGTAAATTTTATGCTTTCTTTACTAGCCACTGACCAACTGGTATATGAGAGGGCAGTTTACATTTTCCTTCATCGTCCACAATTTATTAAACAAACTAACTACCGAGTTCTTATGAAACTAAGATAAAAATCTTGTCCCTTACCTTGGTGATGTTTACTGAGGCAGTGACTTTGACACCAACATTCTCAGGTTTAAAGCTACAGATACCATTTGTTGCAGAATACGGATATGACTCTTCAGTATCAATTCCTCCATTATACTTTATGTATTCAAAGGCTTGAGAAGGCAAGCCTCCGTTGCATCCAAAGTTGTTAAAGGCACGAGCACAGTCGACTAGCTGCTGTTCTGATAGAGAGATGTTCTTCCCAGTTGCCTGTGCATAGGCTGCCTCCAGCGCCCCTGTCGTGCTGCCAGAACATAGGTCATATCATTTGCATTCACAACATGGTGAGACCGCTGCTGATAACTTAAGGGTCCAATTGGCACACCATAGAGCCAGCAACGTGCTTTTGCAGGTCACTTTCCAATCACATGTTTACAGTTATACATAAGCATGTACTCCCAAAGGCATGACATGGCATGGCATTCAGCACATTACCGACCATTCCACTACTGTATATTTTCCCCTACTGTAGTGGTTTACTATTCCACTACTGTATATTTTCCCCAACAACATTAACAAAAACAAAAGCATCAATGAAGGATGTAAAGATTGAACTAACCATTACCTACCATCAGCAGAACAAAGGTGAATGGCACAAATGTTACATTGAAACTTTGGTTTCACCTTTGGATTTTCGTTAAACAAATCTTGGTAAAATTAATAACAAATTTCGCTTTGGGCATTAACTGTTAGTAAACCCAATATAATTTAATTCATAATGGGAGAACAGAAAACAAAAAAACTATGATCAAATTTTAGATTAGAAAAGTTGATTGTACTTATGGTTTAGGTTGGCTTGAAAATTCAACTGGATCAGAAGTTCTAGCTCTAGTTTTGGCTAGCAAATTAAAACATAAAGCCAATAAACTTCATGCATGATATGGTAAAGCAAGAATAAAAAATCTAATCTCCGGTTAGAGTAGAAACATGTTAAAATTATTGGAAAATTAAATAAGAAGTTGACAAACTAGAACAGAAAAAAATCTAATAGTTGTCTTAAGCGTAGTCCTAGGTTCCAAGCGAGCATTCATTGAAGAAACAACCAAAATAACGATCAGAGGAAACAGAAGCTGTGGAAAATAGTGACAATATCTCCCATGTTACTAAAGGCAATAGTTTTTGGTGCATTGCTGCTACGTGGAGCAACATGCCACGTGACATGCTCGCTTGTTGGCACGTGACAATATCTCCCATTTGGCCAAAAGGACTATTTAGATCCCTTGAATAGTTTCATTTTTATAGTTCATTTTACTATTTTCTACTGAGCTTATTTTCCTTTTGATTTTTCTAACAATTTGTTCGATTTATTTGTGTTGCTGGTGTCAGATTGTCCTCCTAATTCTCCATGAACCTACATGTAACAGATTCAAGACTACATTATATCTTGGGTGGTTTTCTCAACGAATGCTTGTACGAGGCCAAGGAATACAATTAAGACAGATTATGTGGCTCTGGGTTTTAATTTGTCATCTCTCTTTAAGTTTAACATCGAAACATAGATTTTTTTTTTTTTA